ACCCACACACACCCACCCACACACACATATATATATATATATGTATATATAAAACAAAAAAAGCATCCTCCAATCCCTTACCCTTGATTACCCAGCTTGCACCAGACCAAGAGACAAGCATGGAAGGAATAGAAGACCCTGCTCTTCAGCAGCCTTGTTTTGGTTTGGTTTGAGCTCATCGTTGTAAAGAAAATGGATTTTACAGAAAGCTAGACCTTTTCCTCCTTTCTCTAGTCCTTTCTTTTGGATGTTTAAAGTTTTTTTTTAAAAGCCACTGATACTGACATCAGTTGACCATATGACAAATAAATCAAAAAAACTGGAGATTCCTCCCTGTTCTTACTGCATGATTCATACTATGTTGTGGACAAATTGCCATTTGAACTGTAAGAATTTAATGTAAATGTGACGTTCAGCGTTTGTTTCTTTTCTACACTTTTTCCACATAACCTAGATCTGCTCATTAGTTTATAGCCCTTACACATATGATACTGAGGAAACTGGTTAGCAGTAACATTTGTGGAGAAAGCCAGTGATTTCATAATAGGAAAGGTCTATGACCCTGGAGGGGTGATGCATGTTAGGGGCAGAGGCATTTAGGTTAGTATTGATCTCAAATAATTAAAACTAAAGGTGCTTACAAGACAAAGTTTTATTTGATTTTTGAAGTGTGAGAATAAAATATTTACTTTTGTTTGTAAGTATTTCAGTGCCAAATTTCAAGCCTAGACTATGATTGGCAAACATGTGTTGTTCATTCTGTTCTGTTTATTTATGTTTTGCATGAAGCATAAATGTGTTATGCTCCATTGTCCGTCTGGAATAATTAAGCACTCCTTTAGTTAATTATCTTGCCTCAGCAAGAATCTGTGGTATACAGCTCTAGCCTCAGCCATCAGAAGTCCTGAAATGTGCACCAACTGAGAAAAAAAAGTAAGCGAGAAATCACAGTGGGAGGTTTAGATTTGTTGAGCTGGAGTCTAATTTAAGTTCTGCAGGTTTCACACTGATGGGATGCCTATATTTATGATAAATACTCCAACTAACCTATTAGTAGTGCAAATGAAAGAAGAACAAAATTGTTAGTCCATAAATTGAAGGGACCGTCCCAGCTGAAGGCTGAACATCTCAGATGCTGAAGTTTGAGAACATGTCATATAGGTTTTCATAGGGCATAAAATATCATAAAAATAATAATGTAGTTATAAATATTGCCTGGTGATAATTATAATGTGGAGCGGCAGACAAGTACGGTCATGGCTCTTAGTAGAGAAAACTTCACGGAGAAAATTTGCCAGGGTAATATCAGTAATTATAGGGTGTGTTCAAAATAGAGCTCATGGGGAAAGATTGGCAGGATAGGCCCTTTCTTAAATAAATGCCTTTAATATATTGACCATAATAGCCAAAACCAAGTTCAAACCGTTGGTTAGTCTGACTCCTTCAGGCTGAAGCCAGCTCCGACATCGTTACGGCAGCCACACAGTGGGCTCAGAGTCTTCTGCAGCAGCGAGCAGCTCCTAGGCTCCGGGACATGTCCGAGGGGCAAGCGCCGCAGCGGGGCCTGGGCGGGCTCAGCCTCTCCCCAGCTCCAGCGAGCGCCTCACAGCAATGCTGGAGCTCCCTGAGGAGAGCTGGGTCCTGCTGTGGCGCTCCCAGAGCCGTTGCATGCCCCTTGGCTGGTGCAGAAAGGCCCTCGTTTGTGTCCCGGAGGGGTGGGCAGCCAGGATCAGATCATAAGTCCAAGGAAAAAAATGAGACCATGTTCCTCTCCAGTGTGGAAATATGGACCTAGCTTTTTAGAGATTTCTTAAAAAAGCAAACTTCATCTGCAAGATAAGCCTGAGCGTTTTGAGTGTGTGAAGGTGAGGAAGCAGTAGGGAGAGAGGACTGTACAGTGCAGGCCAGAGAGATGCAGACCTCAAGGTAAAACCTGCCTGCTGCTGCACAGTGACAGAAGGGCTCTCTCCTTCATGCAGAGCCCTTCGTGCATGAAGGAACCGATGTCCCTGTGCAGACGCCAAGATAATGCTCCCCTCCCAGCAGGTTGCCAACTCTTAGAGGACGTGGCCCGAAGTGCAGGCTGTCGTGCCCCTGCAGCCATGACTCGGGGATATGGGTCCATTACACCCATCTGCTTTTGTTAGTGACCATTCTCCTTCTTTTTGACGGAGGTGTGGCTTTTCCAGTTGAAGACTGTGAGCCCCTGGATATGTTCTGCGATCGGAATAATTTTCTTTTCTTGTCCATTCCCCCCAGTTATTTTTCCCTTTTCTTATGTTCCAAAATAAATATTAATTTCCTTTCCCTCTGCATGATAGCAAATCTCTATAAAGAACTCAGGTGAGCTGTACTGCATGCGGGGCAGAAGGCACGCACATTTCATATGGCACATTATAAACATTTCTAACCACCGATCTCAAGGGATTCATCTAGTCCCCCTCCTTTCTTTTCTTGTGCTACTTTAGAGTGATAGAAAAGTATCTTCACCATCTCAAACATACCAGGTTTACAGTCACAGCCCTGCCTCCTTCCTCATCGCTGACAGGATCAAAATGACATATTTAGTGCATACAGGGACTTTTATGAGCACTATGTGACCCACAGTTTGGAGAACTGCCTTGTCCCAACTCTACCTCTGTTTCTAGGCTGGATATGGAAAAAGCAATCTATTTCTAAGGAAAGAATCAGATACCCCATTTTGTAGCTGAAGTATCCATAATTTTTTGCTGTCCTTTGGCTGGCTGTTTGCCACCTCTTTTTTTTTTTTAACTATCACAACATACTTGTACATACCATCACCTCTTCCCTTGGTGTGTTGTATGATGATGCCTTAGCTGTTTGTTCCCCCATATTCTACTGACTTTGGTGCCACGTGCACTACACAGTCAAGCCCTCTGGCATGCTTAACAACATTTCCCATGCCACTGTGGGTTGCTGCTGATCAAGGGAAGGAATGCATAGCCAATGACTTCCAGCGGACCCGTTATATCTGGCAAAGGCCAAAGTTCATTAAAGTAAAATAAATGTCACTTTTTTTGTGGAATGAATTATCCCACTGGAGTGTGATCATTGTGGTTTTAACCTGGGACCTGCAGTAAAAGATTATGTAGCAACCTCTGACCTTTTTGATTTCTGCTTTACTCTTCTATTGTCAAGGGAAATGTCACCGATCAGGTGAAAGTAAAATGTTTAATGGGCCATATCACAGTAATATCTTATACTGAGTCAAATTGATATACTCTTGCCAAAATTTCTTAGCATCTGGCACTTCCACGGAAACCACAAACAATGATTGCACATATGGGAGCTCGGAGGCTAGAGGTCGTGACAGCCGTTTATTACATGCACCTTACAGTGATCATTTTCCCTAGGAAATTAACCCCGTTCTAATATAAATGCATCAAGTGAGCTCTTCACAGTGTTTCAATCATCTTGTTTTGTCTAAGCAAGGAATACATGTTAAGCTAAAGTGGTGACAAGATGCAATTAAGTAAAAGATGATTGATTGGGTTTCAGTGTTTCCTCAATAATGTTCAAAAAAGATGATTGTGAGCTGAGAATGAATATGCTAAGTAACAGCTTCCTCAGAGGTCTTTATTGTGCAATTAGCAGATCTGTTTGCAAAAGCAATGGATGCACATAGAGATTTTTGTGGATTTGGAAATAGTTGCTGAGGGGAGTGGTCACTGAACAGGCTGGCTACTCTCAGCTGGGCAGTAGCATGTTTCCATCGCAGGGCTGGCTGATAAGAGAAGGACTCCCACCATGTACTGCCCTCCTCAGCCCCATGTTTACCATAGCACTATGGATTAAGGCCTATATTCTAAGCAGGCAGTGGTGGGTGTAAAAGTGTTTTACAGACAGAGTGTGGACCATAATTATGTTGCTGTAAGTAAAATACGCTGGTTGCCATCCCTAAGATTGAAACACCATCCTGGGACTTTTGATCTAATTTTCTTCTTTAACCACTATCATCAAAGCCGTGCAGACCACATGACTCAGTTGCTGCTAACCATGCCCAAGACATGGCCCGCGTTAGTCTCGTGATGGCTGCTGAGTGGATTTTCAGACTCACCCTGCACGTCTGATGAATGTTTCCAAGTCTTTTAAGGAGGTCATTGCTGCTCTGTCAGCAGCGACTCGGCCACCTCGCTGTGCAGTCATTGCATGGGGAAGGTCCTCCGCGCTGGCAAACCTTCCAGGGAAGATGTGAACCCACTTACCTCTGCCAACTGTGCTCAGGACTCCCTTCCAGGTTCCTAATGATCAGAGGAAATCCCAAGCCAGCTCCCCAGTGCCCCAGGGAACCCTGCCCTCCTGCTAGCCAGGCAAGCTGGTGTTTGCGAGAGCATCTCCTTTACACCATGTCACGATAATTCTGTTTGGCCCAATACCTCTCTGAAAATTGACAACAGAATTAAGGAGGAAGGGAAGGATCCTTTCAAACCCAGAGTTCTGTCTCAGCAGTGAAAGGGAGGGGAGCATACTAAAGCACATCAAAGCCGTGGAAGCTGGAGCCACTCAAAGTCCCACGTGCTCAGGGTCGAGCTGTACACAAGCCCGTGCCCAAACCCCTCCTGCATGCATGAGCAGCAGGCGCTGTGCACGTCTGCCTCTAGCACAGCCTCCCCCCGGCCCCTGTGGCACCGGGCAGCCAGCACACCCACCGCCATTTAACTAGGGCTTCAGGTTTGTATTTGGTCCTCTTAGGGGTACTCAAGCACTTGCTTAACTTTTAGCAAGTACCTAAACTCTGTTGACTTCAGTGGGATTTGCACACGCTTGCTCATTTGAGGCCTGTCGGAATAAACTGACAACTATTGCCTTCCTAAAGGAGTGGCCCCGGTCCTCGTGGTTCTGCACACTGTTCTGTTTTAGCAGTAACTGTGAAGGGACTGCCAGATATTTTGCATTGGGA